GGATATATGAGTACACATATGCAGCCGTACCTTCGGTAGCGGTTATTGGCAAGATGCCTACGGGAAACTCGTCCAAAATTGATTTTGAACACATTGAGAACGGAGGCTCTTTCTTCGCAGGATTTTGACCGTTTCACTCCGTTCTTTCGCCATTTCCCCACTATATAGCGCCCTACTAGCATTTCAGGCCGAGCACCAAATCATCGTGCCAACTGCCTTTAATGGAAGTGGCACACGTGTTTAGCTGCGGACCTGTTCACCTCGCACATTTCGAGGATCCATCTTGCAGATTACAGCAGCAGCATATCTTCAAACAATGTAATTGCTAATGACACTTATTGCTCAGAAGTTATTCCTAGAATCGGACCGATTAAGATGTGACTTTTCGTTCAACATTCTGTAGTTCGTCTTTATAACCTAGTGTCCATGTCTCACCGTATTCGCTGCGACGGTGTACGGATTGAGACCTGGAAAAGTAGCTACCACGGAGCAGTTGTCCAGCTGATTCCATATGCTCACGTAAGCTTCGTTTGATGAGGGAAGTGGTGGTAAGGTTTGCTGTAAACGTCCACGAGTATCTATACATCAACATAGTTTACGAAAGCACGAAAAATGAGATTGAAATAAAATTTTCGGCACCCATCAGACTGACAGGGATTCGTTGCGCATTCTGTTCGTCTCCGGAATCAAAGGAGCACTATTCTACTGATACCGCTTGATTCTACAAGGTATAATTCTTCAGACCCCTTCTAATTTCTGACGGTTCACAACAGACTAATCCGCGGCGATTTGACTGCACAACGGTAGTGGCCGTTAACACTGCAAGTCGATAGACAAACTCAGTATTCCAGTCCTCAGTACTCAGTATGCCAGCGGCGTAGGTTCCCTATTCTGCTCATCTTACTCCAAGGGCGGCAGATGAGACTCACAATCAGTGGTTTGGGAAGCCGATGCAACACCATGCGAGAAAAAAATAATATGGACTGTAGTCACCAGCTTCTCCCTTCATGAAAACTGCATTATTTCAAGCTTTGCAGATTTCAATTTATTGTGCCAAAGAGGTTGTTAGGCGGAGGCGGAAGACTTCATTGAAATTGGCCTGACATTTCGACAGGATCGTCGTCCTCAGAGGCCAGTCCACCACCACATGAGTGGAACGATGCCACTCGCTGTTAGTTGTATTCAGTAAGATTTACTGAGTATTGAAAATGCAGCAGTAGAGACATTGCTGTCTTCCTTTTCTCAAAAGCCTCACACCTCAAACAACATATTACACCTAGAAAAAGCCCCGCGATTTCTACCCGGTCAACATATCTGCTCCACCGCTAATTTGCCATGGAATCATAACGCAAGCGCTTGCGAGACGTTAAGAATCTAATCCTTCTCGTCAGAGCAAACAATTAGAGCCGGAGAGGGGATTGTACCAGGATGCTTTCCCGGAGGTCACACTGACACTGAATCCCCTTAGGTGTGCAACTGCTCATGCAGTGCGACTCACGGACGAAAAACCATGCCACAGAAGACATGGGTAGGATAGTCGATCACCATCACTTTCAAGGATGCTTTTACGCCCAGCTCGATATTTTGAAGGACTTAAGATGAACACAATGAACATAGGATAAACAAATACTCACATTGACGCTAAGTTGTACAAAGCCAGTGACTAGGAAAGATAACGAGGCAAGAAAACCACCGACAACCATCTTTCGCAAAGGCCTGAAGTAGAAAGCGTAACCTTACCTCACCTGTTTCATGCTTTCACAATAATTTGCATTCATGCTACTTTTGAGCTTCTGAATCTAAAAGACAGCTCATACAGCGTTATCAGC